ATGTAATGAACTAATGATATTTTTGTTTGTTCATTTGATCAAATCCATATTGGTGTGGCAACATATGGCAATGATTATCTCTTTTCTTATTTAGCTTCTGGTATTATTCAAGTGTTCCCCTTTCGACCATAAAACTTGAATCTTCATTATCAGGGTCCTTCTGGTATATATTATTGCATTAGGTTCTGATATGTGGAGATGGTCTCTGGATTCTGCCTTCTTTATTGATGGCTCTCATTAAGGTTCGACAGCCTATATATGTGTATGAACTTCACAAGAGAGCGGAGAGATTTTCCAGACGAAACCCAAACTAATTGCCAGATAAATGTATATTAGTTGGTGTGACTAGGTTAAGAGGAGACAGTTAAAAGGGTTAAGACACTAATCGCCAGGTTAACAATTTTGAATATATTTTTGTTTATCAAAAAGATTTTGGTTATTCTGTTACCGGTGGAAGATTCTCTTTCCCGGCACAAAAACTGTTTCATACGTAGCAAAATTGAAAAAATGGAGGCAGCAATTATCTCCAATGCAGAGAAAGCCACCTCTCAAAGTGAATTTCACAACACCCCACAAAAAATCATGCCTATTTTTGTTGGCCTTGACATGTTAAACCAAATCCCGGGTTTTTGATTCTGTTCCAAAACCGGCTACTAACCCCTGATGGCTTTCCAAGAACCAAATAACATAAACCCAATAACACAGCAGAGGATTATGGGATTGCGTGTTCAATCTTGGTGTGGAGGGTAACAATAAGGTCATGTGCATCGTCTAAGAGCTTCCACACGTCTAGTTTCCCTACCATACTATGGCATTCCCTCAGAATCTCCTCCATGCTATTGTACTTCTCTATTATGAGTTTCCTCCTCTGCAAAACCGAAGCCGCTATCGCATAAAGCAACAAATCGTCTGTAGGAGGAGCTCGATGTTTTATTCGACGGCTCCAAGAAGATTTCCCAATCCCAGCTCTTATTGCAGCCTGGTCTGCCCACATAGCTTCCCAAAGACACAATGTCTGCTCCAAAGTCAGCTCCCTTCTAAACATCACAAGAACCATTCTGTAAACAAAGAAATAGTCTTCCGCCTTGACTTTCTCAAGATGCTTGTAGAGCTGCGAGTCTTTGGATTTGATAATCTTTGAGACTATGTTCAGTTGCCTTGTGATCCCAACCTCATCAAGGCTGAAATTCTGACGAGCTTTCTTCATGAACCCAACGAAACACCAAAACGCCTCGTAGTCATCAGGTATAACAGAGAGTATTGGGGAGAGAAGATCGCTCATTCCTTGGCAATAGCCGATTTCAGGGTCATGTAAAGCATATGCTTCAAGAACAGCAACAAGCCGAGCAGCGTGAAAGATTTTCGAAGGTTCCAAATGACTGTAATCCTTTAAAACAACCGCTTCTGCAGCCCGACGTGCCTTGTCCTCTGTTACCATAGATTGGGATGGGGAATAAGGGGTCCACTCTGTATCCGCGCGGACAGCGTCTAGACGGATAATACGCTGCCATGTCACAAAATCCTCTTTGGTACGGGAGATATATATGCTGGATGGAGAAGTACTATCCTCATCTCTCCTTTCAGAAGAAGGAACTAGCTGAACAGAATCATTCTCATCCGACGAATCTGAGTCCTCAGACTCAGAATTCAAGCCTCTTGAACCAGAGTAGTCCCCGTCAAGCGTACACGAGGCCTCACTCATGTTCCCAATATCTTCTGTGATGTCTTTGTCGCTAGAGAGAGACTCGTGAGTGCTGAAAGCATCATCAGAACACGAACTGTCAGTGTCTTGCGCAAGAGAATACGAACTGTTTCGTCTTTGAAGCCTTTTACACTGCCTGCGTAGTCTCTCATACACTTTCCTGCATTTGTAAAGAAGTTTAAGTAGATTTAAGTCAAAGATGAACAAAAATCAAAGAAAGAAGATTCCCGACCGGTGTATCATCATCTGTTTCTCACCTTCTCCAAATTCTTGTAGCACCTCTCTCTTCTTTGGAACTATTCAAATCACACCTGTTTGCAGAGAAGAAAATAAACTAAGGTGAGGAAAATGAAGCAACAACACCAGAGTTCTGTGAGTATATAAGTGTGATGATGCTTCTTTAACAATGAGTCAAAATTTGCAACATTTTGAATCGTACACATCCTTTAGGAACCATGAGCCCTATAAACAGACAATGTCCTTGATTTCAACACATCACAAGGAACACGGTAGAGATTTCATTATAACAAATCAACTGCAACATGTGCAACTGATAGACTAACAGAGTTTGAATGTATACTTACACTCCAAGAAGAAATGGCCACACCTCCGACCGAATGCTAGGATCAATGCCCTGTACAGGTTAAATATAAGACTAATGAATATTCGAAAACATTTGTAGAACACTAACAAAGTTCACAAGGCTGTGAAGCTTTGACTCACTCTACTCCGGACTTTCTTCAACAGACCAACTCCCCCATTCCGAAGCCTACCCTCAGGGGTGAAAAACCTTTTCCACCGGCGAAGTGTGAGTGGTTTTTTCCGTTTTCTCCGAGACCAAGGTGACTTGAGTCGATGCCTGAAACAGAAAACAAAAAAAAACCGAAATTGTTTCAGAAAAATGCATGCTTGTTCTGATACAAAACTAACCATGGAGCATAAACATAGGCAGGGAGCAACAGAACAGGAAACAGAATCATATGTTCAGTAATAAAGACAAGCATCAGAGGCAAGGTACTAAATTTATAGATTCCACTTTTGACAATAACAACTCTAATACTCATCTAACAAGACCGGCAAATTGTAAAATTTCTCAGGAATCAGAGAAACACAAGCCCAAGAGACTCACGGATCG